TAACTGGCAAGTCTTCTTCCCTATCCACTTCCAAGGCTACAACCCTGCCATTGCTTACCACAACCAGGTGCCCCCTGCCACGCTGGACCTGCTGCGGGACGCGGGGCGCTTTGACCGTGATGTCTTCCATGAGGCCTGCTTCTACAACGCCGACTACATGGCGGCTCGCACCCGCATGGCAGGCGACGTGCAGGAGAATGAAGACATCTTGGAGACCCTAGACATCTATGATATGTTCATCAAGTACTCCAACTTGCACGTCTTCCGGGCCGTGGAGCCTGCCCTGCTGCAGCGCTATCGGCACCAGGCCTGCAACCCCCGGCTCAGCGAGGAGATCTACCACCGCTGCGTGCAGAGCAGCTTGGAGGGTGTCGGGTCTCGTTCCCAGCTGGCCATGGTGCTCTTTGAGCAGGAGCAGGGGAACAGCACCTGAGCCCAGGCACGGAGGTGCTGGCCCTGTCCAGCCTCCTGCCTGCCCCAGCCGCTCTGCTGCCCGGATCTGCCCTCCTCGCCCTGGTGAGCGTGGCGTGGCTGCAGTGGTCACCGCTGGCTGGTGCCACAGCCCACGGCTCCCCTGCACTGGTGCTACCCAGGTAGTGCTGGCCCCTCCCAGCCCGGGCGGCCTGGGATGTTCCAGAGCAGCTGTGGTCTTTGCAGACCCTCCTGTGGGATTGGGTTGGGATTCCTGAGCTCAGAGCCAGGACACCTGGGTTCTTATCCCGGAGCTGCTGCCTGTGGTCCCTCTTGCTCCTGGCTGTGTTGGCTGGCGGGAGGAGCAGAACTTTCTGTCCCTTGCTTTATCTGTGACCTGCACCATCCCCAGCCCCCTCAGCCCGAGCACACACCGAGCCCGAGGCCCCTGCTGTGGGGCTGTGACTGCGATGAGTTACCAGCTGGGCCTTGGGGAGCTGCCATGTTTTCCCCTGACCCCCTGATACAGGGCTGCATTTGCTCCTTAGCCTCCTCGTGCTGGGCCCTCTTTGGACACTAGGACAGAAGGGAGCAGAGCACTTGGTCCCTGTCGTGGGGGAGAGAGGTGTCCCTGTGCCTGCTTGCTGCAGGCTGGAGTAGCGGGAAGACTGGCTGGGGCACGTCAGACCCCACCAGAGCAATAAGGAGGTTGGTTTTAGCATACGCCACTTGGTAACGAGACAGCAAACTGAATCCTCCAGGCTGGCTGGGGTACGGGTTCCTGGCCCCAGGATCAGCCCGTGCAGGAGGGGAGCTGGGGATCCTGCTGTATTCGCTTACCATGAGCTGCTCCCCATGGGAACCATGACCCAGGCCGCTTCGGCCTTCGTAGTATCAATAGGACGTAGGAGGTCACAGCCTTCAGACAAGAGCCTCCAGCTGGAGGTTTGAGCCCTTCCTGCCACCGCTCCGGAGTCCAGCGCGGGGCTGCCCTGGCGTCACCTGTCCCGGGGGCTCTGCCACCCTGTCACCGCAGAAGGGACCCTTGCGCGCGTGGCCTTTGCGCCCCTGCTCGGGGCACGTCCGCTCAGCGTGGGGCAGAGCACGCCGGGACAGCAGCGCCTGGGCTGGTGGGCAGGCTGGTTTGGCTGCGCGTCTCCTAAGGAGAAACGACTGAGGAGCTGCTCTCTGCTCCTGGTTTGTATTTAATAGTGGGGAGAGGAGGGTGGGGGGGTTGTGTTTACACTAATAAAATGAAGAGATGAACGAGTTGGTGTGACTGCTGCTTCCTTGGGGCTGGGCACGGCGGCCTGCGCTGTGGGGAGATAGTGCAGAGCCGAGCGGCCGCCCAGGGGAGAGGGGCTGAAGTGGGTGCGAGCAGCGTGAGCTGCCTCCTTGCTGCACCCTCCCGCACCCAGGATCAGCTTGGAAGGGAGCTCACGGCCAGGCGTCAGTTCGAGTCGTTACTGGTGAGTGCTCTCTCCAAATTGGTTTCACCCCTTTATGTTCTGTTTTACGTGTCGGGCCTTCTCAGCATCTTGTGGTAACAAGTTCCCTAATTTAACACTGTACTTTGGGGCAAAGCGCTTCCTCTTTGTCTTTAACCCTCCTCCAGCTCTTCTCAGCACAAAATGCTGCTACTTGTGTTGGGAGAAAGGGGCAGTAAACATCCCCTTTCTGTGCTGCTTTGGGCATGATTCCTCTGGATCCATGTGCTCGTCCCACCGACTATTTGGACACCACTTTTCACAAGCAGAAGGGCCCTCCTTTATTTAACCCTGCCATGTGTGGGACCTGCTCCCTCTGTCTCCCTGGGCTCTGCGCTCTTGCTGATTCCCTGGCAGCGTCTTGGGAAGCTAGCGGCACATGAGTGCGCTTGCCGTGCTCTACTTGTGAAACCAATGCCTTCGTAGGGCAGTTGCGTCCAGCTCCTGTTCCCCAAACTCACCAAGCCAACAACTTACCAAGGGCAAAATCCTCAAGAAAATTAACTAAGCCTCCTTGCCTGTAGTCAGCAAGGCTGTGTTCAGCAAAACTCATGGAAATGACTGCAGATTGGATGGCATATGTTCCAAAAAGGGGTGTTCTTATTCCAGTCTTTGTATTCACTGTAGAAACATATATGTTCAAATAAATGTTTGTTGCATTTCTGAGAACAATCATTAACTTGCTGTAAGCACTTCTATTTTTGATCTTCCCCAAACATGTCCTTAATTCACTTTAAATGTGAATCTGGGACAGGAGGATGTAGGAAGGATGCAGGTGCATTGCAGATACAGTTCTTCTCTGAAATGCAGACCTAGGAGTCTGAATTGATTAGGTGTTAGAAGAGTATCCAAATGTTAATAAAGAGGGAGCAGGACTGAGGGTAAAGGGAGGGAGTAGGAGTGAGGGTAAACAGAGGATAAAAGACCAACTTCACATAAAATTGGCTGCAAAAAGGAATCCTAAATTGTCATTTAATTGTTGCAAGATGGTCTAGATATAGTTTCTCTTGTTTCTTCTTTGCTGTTTGCCCAGACTGAGTAAAGAGCTATTTGCGTACTTAAAGCTTTGCACTATTAAAACCAATGAACCATCCCCTGCCTGAACATACGTAAGAGCAAATTATAGCCCTTATGGTACTTTCAGCAAAGTTTATTGGTTCCTTTCAAAAATAAGCTGGCAGTGTTCAAAGTCACTTTGCCATTTGCCAGGTTATTTCCAGTATCAAAACATGCTAAATGATGCAGCTGTGCTCTTGTAATGGCACTGTGGCTGCTGGAGCAGCTCAATGTGCTGCAGCAGCCCAACGTCTTGCCCTCCGCTGTGCCCTCACGTGTGAGGAGATGCTGCTGTCAACCAAAGCAGCCCCGGAACGATGCTGCAAAGAAAACAGTGATGACCAGCAGTGGAAAGAGCTCAGTTTTGGTCCTGCTCCAAGTGCAGGTGACTTGAGACATGTGTGCAGCTTGAATGGATGAGTTTTGTTTTCTGAAATTCTGCTCCCAGCTGGAGCCCAACGTGCAAAAGTTCACAGCTTTAAGTCTTGCACCAGCAACATCTGCTCTGAGCTCTAGAGCTGAGTCTCTGGCCAGATAGCCAAGGGTGCTGCCAGATTTCAGATTTTCCTGTGGCCCAGCACTCAGCTTGCACCCCCAGAACAGGGGAAGGTGCAAGCTGTGGCTCACGCTGGTCTCCCTAGAGCGGCTCGTTTGCTCAGCACCGTTCTCGTTGCAAGCAGCGCAGCTCTGCTTGTGCTGGGTGGCTGCACTGGGCCGCCCCGCAAGCACCGCCGAGCACGTCGGCAGCCTTAGGGAGCAATGTCAGCATTTTCCAAAAACTTGTTTTATGCACATTTGTAACTTGTCTCAAGTCCCCTTTGCTGTGTCAGAGTGATTCCTCCCTTTGCAGCTGCCTTTCCCTGGCAGCAAAGGCAGGCAATTACTCTCCAGGCCTTGAAGCAGAGGCTGGACCTTGCTGGGGCTGTGCGGGCACCAACTTTGGGGCTCTCAAATGTGGAGCTGACAGTAGTTCCTACAGAAACTCCTCATGCCAAGCATAGAGGGCCAGATATCCTTATTAGCTTTGGCCTGAGGCTGGTGGGAGTTATCATGGCATAAGTAGCAGCCCAACTCTGTACACTCCCCTATTAGGAATACCACGTCTGGGAGCAGGAAATTGGGAGCAGGCAAGTCCTCCGTGAAAGATCAGTCCCAGGATGGCAGCAGGGAAGCTTCCTGGCGGGATGGGGCGGGCACGGAGGTCTGGGAGCAGCGTCTTTTGGGTACCCACCACCAGTGGACCTGCGGAATGGGTTGGCCAGCAGGGTCATAGAATCATAGAATGCTTAGGGTTGGAAGGGACCTCTAGAGATCATCTAGTCCAACCCCCCTGCACACGCAGGGACACCTAGAGCACGTGGCACAGGACTGCATCCAAGCGGGTTTTGAAGATCTCCAGAGAAGGAGACTCCACAACCTCTCTGGGCAGCCTGTTCCAGTGCTCTGTCACCCTCACTGTTAAGAAATTTTTCCTTAAGTTCCTATGGAATTTTTGGTGTTTCAGTTTCCGGCCATTTCCTCTAGTCCTATCAGTGGCCACCACTGAAAAGAGACCATCACCGTCCTCTGCACTCCCTCCCTTGAGGTACTTATAGACACTGATTAGATCCCCTCTCAGCCTTCCCTTCTCCAGGCTGAACAGGCCCAGCTCCCTCAGCCTCTCCTCATAGGGCAGATGTTCCAGGCCCCTGATCATCCTTGTGGCCCTGCGCTGGACTCTCTCCAGCAGCTCCACATCCCTCTTGTACTGTGGAGCCCAGAACTGGACACAATACTCCAGATGCGGCCTCACCAGGGCTGAGTAGAGGGGCAGGATCACCTCCCTCGACCTGCTGGAGACACTCTTCTTAATGCACCCCAGGAT